CCCGTATGGTGTCCTCGCTTATGCTTCCACCGTGATAAGGCTCCGGACGCTCCCATACGCCGAACCGTTCACGAAGCTGCTTTGATTTCTTCAGAAGGTATTTCGATGCCTCAGGAATTAGCCGTTCTAACTCCCTAGTGGCTACGCCCTTGGGCACAAGCGTGAGGAGCTGACATCTCTCCTGGTAAGATGCCGCCTTCACAAAGGCCTCTCTGATGTTTGCCCACCACCCGTCGCAGCCGAGGCATGGTTGATCACTGCGAGAACTTGACCCACTTGGCTCCAAGGTATATGCAGTCGCCAACTTTTTTCGTACCTGTCGGCTGTGTGATCCTTCAATCTCCCGCTGTTTTCTTTCAGCATATGCCTGACGGTTTTTCGGGTTTACTGTAGAAGGCATGCGCAAAGGAGTTGTTTCAAGCCCAGCAGCAGAAATCTCTTCGTTAAGACCTTCCACTACTTCGTGCTCTTCGATGCAGCTTGCTGGAGAGCTCGAGCATGGATCACTGACAGATGATGAAAGCTTCTCACCGGTGTACTGGAAGCAGTTCTGGCAGAGCACGTCATCCAACGCAAGAGCCGCGGCTTTCGATGGAGGTAGGATTATCTTCAAGGCGTCTACGTTGAGATCGGTGACATAACGAAAACGACGGTTGCGGTATACCCTTCGCTTATGTCTCTCGAAGTAGTCCGCGCAACTCTTTCTTTTAAAGCTGAAAACTGCAGCCATGACTGAGTTCAAAATAACGCGTTCATTCCTCGGGAGGTTCCGGCTTTCTGCTTTCGACGCAGTTCCGCAGTTCTCTTATACAAATTCATTGCTGCAAGCCCTCTTCTTATATTTTTTTTTATTCTCTTATACTAGATGAGTTTGTCAAATATAGACACTGATTAGCGAATCAACCTAAGGACGCCAGAAATGTCATGGTGCGTGTTATTCGCTTACAAGTAAAAATAAATAATGGATAAGAGAAACAGACAGACCATAGCACCAGGGGCTCAAAGAGGACTACAAACATTAGTTCCGGAGAAAAGCGCTGCAACGAAGACACAAAATGATAAGCCAACCAAACCTTCCTTTTTGTTCTGATGCTCTTGCCAACACTGTGGCCATGTTTGTACTGGTGATAACTTGCCACCCTTGAAACAAATAAGTATCCGCAAAAGCTGTATGTATACAGTTACGACTCCATCGACCGGCGTGATAATGTCTAGTGTTTACTGCATTTGTTTTCTCCTTTTGACGAACTTGACCCAGCCGAGCTACAGAAACTTCGGGCACCAAAGAGTCTCAAGCTTCCGCCCATAAATTTATTGGGAGAAGGACAAGGACTGCTTCACACAGTTCCACTTCGCTGTGATGCATTGCGACAGCCTGTGACGACGCGAGTTCCACTCTAACAAGATTAGTATAACCCTCTTGCAACGGCGCACGCCGAGGTCAACTAAGAGTCGCATGGTAATCTTCATGATAAGAATCGCAGCCTTTTGCTGGCGCTCGCGAAGAGGTTACTGAACCTATACTTCACCTAACAACTGGACCAGTTGCAACTGATGTAACGAACATGGCTCTTTCTTTTGATGTAAAAACAAACATAAAGAAAAGCGCCAAAAAACGTGCATACCCAGCTGGTAAGCAACACACGGGAAATCAATTAAAAAAGTTTGAAAGAAAAAAAAAAATTTGCCTACGCCACGTGCCTTCTGTCATTTTTTTGTGACATTTCTTTTTTTGTAAAAAATATATTACTAGGAATGCAACGAGGTAAAGTGGTTGTCAGTGAAATCTGATATTGCTGAGCCAATTATCAATGTTGCGGTGAAGCCCGCATACCGGAGCCGGAGGTTGGTATTACGCGATAAAAATGACTTATTCAACTGGTTGTCCTAAAACTACAACAAAAAAAGGTCAAGCAATATTTATACCCGGTTATTAAGCAGAATCTGGGCAATAAATTAAAAAAGTATGAACGAAATAAAAAATGGCTTTTTTGAGAAAATTGACTTCAAAATTTGCATATTTTTCATTTTTGTCTATATTTGTGACAGAATAAAAACAACACGGTAAACACAATAACCAGAAAATACATGTCAATCGATAGCTTACATTGATAACTACGCACAGATATCTGTCTCACGTCATTGCGCCCTACCGTTCGTTTTATATAGCTGTCCGAAGTTGCGTCACACTTGCTCTAGGTTGCATGTTTGAGATTTTTTAGAAAATTAATTTAAAATAACAGAAGACAGAAATTTACCTCTAAAAATAGCCAAGTCTGCTTAAATATTGCGTAATAAATATAATAATTCTGCAAGAATTCGATATTTTGTAAATGGCAGCTAAAGTCGAGATAAAATCAAATTGGGAATTGGACGTGTTCTACCCTGCAGCGCCTCAGAATTTTTTTTCTCTCAAACTATACAATTCTAATTTTTTTCAAAGGCAGTTTCTTTCATCACAAGGATTCGGGTATCATATATATTTTTTACGATTAAATCTAAAGACCCCCCTCCGACAAGTTTGGTCGAATTCAAATGAAATCACCCAATAAGAATTACCTTATGGTCTGGCATTTGCCTTCCTTAATATTCGCCAAATAAAACATAAGCCGCAAGAGAAGTGACCTAGTAAAATTTTGCAAAAGTAAGTGTCTAAGCAGATCTACTTTATAGAAATGTTTAAACAAACTGATTTTTATCTGACTGAGCAGATGCACTTCGCAGATTTCGGCGTCATCAGCCACTGAAAGTAAATCTCTCTTCGCAATCAACCTGCATACGGTGATCTGCATGCAGCCGATTTTTTCTCGGCGTCACCTATTGCGGGTCCAAGGCAGCCTCAAGTTGTTTGTTACACTTGCCCGTGCCTGACGTCCCAGCCTTTGTGTTAAAATAAATTAATTAAATCAGACTCTCTATTTTAAAGGGATACTTCAACGAAATTCGCAATATACCCGTCGTGTTGAGAAATAGGCTGAATATGGTCCACAATATCCTTCAATGACAGTCGCACGCTCGTATTTTGCGCCTGATGGCTGTAGTTTTCGTTAAAAACGGCCCACTCTGGCGAGCGCGCGGAGAGCAGCCTGCGGAGAGCACGTGACACCCAGCCCAATCGTGACGTAGTTTGTCTCGGGACGAGCAAGACTGCGGCGAGGCTGGCATCGACAAGACGATTGCAAGCAACGCATCCAGCCACCGCCATACATCTGCTCGTGCGGGCAAGTGCGTGCAATGACAAGCTCGCCAACACATCGTTCACGCGCGCGCTCCGCATGCTTTAGCGCATGGGGCACCAGGGAAGCGATAGTCTTAGGCGAAACGTGCTTAGCCACAATTTGTCAACGTCCCTAGAGGGAAATTACAACCGAGACTTTAGCAAAAATCCACCAGACGCCATTTGCTAACCGTTTAATTTGTTTTCAAATCCATTATCTTGTATTATCTTGCAAGAAATTGGGGTGTCTGAAGTGATTCTGCTCTCTTGAAAACGTATAGGCCTAGAAATAAGCGCCGTAAATTCGGTGTAGGATCCGTTTACAAAATTAAAGCAATAGAAATACCTCATACAAAGAACCGAGCACGGCAGCTTATTTAAATTCATAAATAGACCGGTCAAGCATCTTTGAAAAATTATTATAAATCTCAAACATCGTGTGGGTGTGTTACTATTCACAAACAAATCGCCTTATGTTAAAGTTCCACCATTCCCAGCATTAGATAAAACGCAAGTCAAAGGTTCGATGCATGTCTTCTCAAATACCCCCATATCGTCAAAAACCACTGTTTACGACCTGTTACTCATCCAAATTATGAAGCTTTAGAAAACCCGCTGATTAGTTTTTAATATCTTGAATTTCAATATTTAAAGCAACCTAAGGGCGGCCGCATCGCGTGATTTTAAGATGGTAGTACCCATTCAGAGGACGGGGAAAAAGCCTATAGGTAACGTCACGTCAGGTAACGTGAGCGTGAGTGGGGAAACTTAATTGCTGCATAGATCACCTGACGTGCACTCTAAGAAGTGCCCGCGCGTCTGCTTACACGCAAAGCACTCAAAGAGCCAACCTCTTCGGTCTACGAAATCAGCTGAGCGAATGATGAGGCTAAACATATCTTTCAACGTAAAAATGAAGTCTGCGCTGTGGCATTACGCAATACAAAGCGTCATGCTTGCATACCGGAATGCAACAGCAGAGTCTGAATTTTTAGGTCTAATGATGGTTCCTCCTCGTCTTTCGCTGAGCTGATTTCGTAGATCGCAGAGATTGACTCCTCGAGTGTTTTGCGGGTAAGTGGATGCGCAGAAATGTTTTATTGTGGGAGGTCAGGCGACATGAAATGGCGACACGTGACATAAACACCAATTCAGTTTCGCCGCTGAGTTTAGCGAAATGCACGGACAAACGGAGAGTAAGAGGAAATTTTGAGATTGCGACTTCCGTAAAAACCTTTCATGGTTTAATATATAAGTGCATTTTAAACGGTCTTAATCTTATAAATCTCTGTCGCAACACCACGCACAAGTCGGATGGGCTTATATAGGAATTTATCTTCGCATGTGAGGTTCACGACTGTCACGGCATATGAAATGATTAGCTAGATTATTTTCAAAATATCTTCAAAGGTCCTCTTTCTTATCATGAAAAATTCGACCACCCGAGCAAAGCTGGGACGGTCGAGTTTTTTATGGTAAGCCTTAAGCCGTGGTTACACTTCTTATACATCATACAAAAGAGTCTGCCTGGATACATATTCGAACGCAAGTCACTCCGAGATCCGTGCTTAAAATGGCGCATGGCAATGGGTCCAAGGATAAAACTTGGCACGAGGTATTGGAATGCTTTGAACCATAGATATTTTGGTGACTCGTGTTTTCAGACAGTCTTTTGTATAATGTATGAGCAGTGTGACCCTGGCTTTAGAGTTGTCTATGTCTCTATGAGGGTGGTTGTATAACATCGTATGTCAGCCTATATCATTTTTTTTGTGTGTTTCAGAGGACATTCTTCATAGGATTCGTAATAGTAACGTCACCCACATCCTTACCACATCGAGTGAAGCTAGCCGATTTAGCGACATGCGGGAAAGGCTGGACATGAAGGTTCGTATACTTAAGCGAGATCAGGATAGAATGCGCGGTTTTACGCAAATATTGGGGCCAACATGGATACTTTTGAAGGGCGCATAAGATATTGCTGTGCGGCGCTTCACCTTGAGGGGATAGAAAATGTTGATTTTCTCAGAAGAGAGGGGGAAAGATCCTTTGACCTCAAATAGCTGTGGGTGTTTCGTGTCTGCAGTAGCATATCTGTCTAATGTTTGCGAAGAGCACTAAGGGTTGTGACGTTATAACTTCTATTATAAATATTTAATACCAGTTACAACGTTTAAACAATACAAAACAGCTATGACTCAAACATAGTCAAACATTTGATCTCCCTTTAGCTTTTGACGGTTTTATGTAGACGGTGTCTATACTAACAATCGATGTAGACAAAATTTGAAAAAAAATTAGGTTTTCGAAGCGGCCTGCTTCTTTTCCAAGATGAACCTGCTTCGTCTCAGGCTTCGGTCCTTTGGGCTCTGCATCCGAAGAAGGTTACCCCATCCTGGAGTGAATGCAGTGTTGGGCTTCCATTTTCTCAACTGGTCATCTGCTTACCGGATACTGCAGATCTCACTAAATGAGATTTCACAAGAACATTGAATAATGTAGAAGGTTCTACCGTACCAGATGACCATCTCCTTTGGTACAAGTTACGGATCGTCCCCATCTTTGCGGTTTCTCAGCGTAGCTGCTTCTAAGCTTCTTGAGTTGTCGTGGAAGGTCATTGTGACAGGAATGAACGTCTCCTACCAAAGCAACGTACAAGCAAAGTTCGAATCCCTTATCATTCTCTGCGACTCTCAACTCAGCTCCGGGACCATGGATCTACTTTCCAAGGGGCCTAAGTTCTCCCCTGGTGTTGACCTATCCTAAGCGAGATGTTTCTCTTGTACGATGGTCGTGAGATGAAAACACGCCTTGCTGATTTGACCCTGGACTGTCATGTTTTTCGGTACGAGGATGATTACGTAATTGTCCACCCAAATTCGGTTTCTTCTAGTTGTATTGTGGACGTCTTTATTTCCTCTTCGTCAGGTATCAAATTTAATAGAGAAGACTCCACGCACAAAGGTCTGCAGTACCTAGATCGTCGTCTACGTCGTCTATCTTCCGGATTATGCTGGACTTTCCAACAACCTTCTAAATACATGTACTCTCTCTCTGTATTTCGCACTCTAAAATTGTCAAGCATAGAATTGTCCGGTCCCTTTTTCTCTCCTCCGATGCTCCGTAAAGTTCCCACCTTGTCTAGTTCAGCTTATCAACACAGAAAGAACGCCTCCTCAAGGCTGGGTACCCGAAATATCTTCTTTCGACCAACATCATTCGTCTAATATTAGGTTCCAAGAGCTTTCAGTTTTCCAGAAGGAGGAGTTCTGAGGTGGTTACCATACTTCACGTCCATAACACCTGTCACCGCTTGAAGACCATCGCAGCACGGTACGGCACTTTTGTTGTTTTCTCGTGCAAGACACGCCTAAAACAATAAGGCCAAAAGGTCAATGACAACAGTGCCCCCAAAGTCTGCTCCATCCAGAATGCCAACACATTTGTCCCCATCGACGACAAGGTTGTGTGCCGTACTCCCTCTACCTGCGGGGATTGATACGTTGGATGGACCGGTAGGTGTTTCAACGCTCGCCTCCGGGAGCACTTCCTCGGGGTAACTTGTGCGTCTAGTGTCTCTCTTCATCCCAGTGTGAAGCACAACCGCATTTGTTCAAATTGTGAGCCGGACTTCCAAGCTGTAGGCGAGTCATTGGGAGACACAGGGACAGACTAGGACGAAAAAGTTTTGAGCCCTTTAGGATAGCCGGGCATGAATTCAAATATGCGTCACCCTCCCTTAAGTTAACCAAGGCGAAGGTAGAGTTTCTGAGAGGAACTAAAGGGGTGAGCACAAGTTGGCTCAGAGTTTCCTTTTTTTTTCGGCGGTGTTTTCTTCATCTTCTTTTTTCTAGGGAAGATATGAATCTTTTTAATTTCTTTTAATTTTAATCTGAATATCTTGTTGTTTTTTTTCGTTTTTCAACGCTGCTATCTTCTCCATTTTCGCGGGTTCCTTCCCTTTTTTTTGAGGGTTGGGTTAAAGAAGCGCTGACCCATTGAGGAGGCATAATAAATGCCGGTTGCTAAATGAAAGGACTGTCCTTTGTGTGTATCTTTCCATATGTGCTTTATTATTTCGTGCTCCAAGCAATGAGATCGTGTCAGATGCAATTTTATTTTCTAATATTGGTACTTTGAAGTTTTAGATCTTCTCAAACTCTATTCTCTTGGGCCTTAGAGAGGCTAGAAACTTGACTCCAAAGCTTTTCCCGTTGCTATATATGCAGAGTTATCGAAGCACAATTGCGTTCGCTAAAAAGCTTCCTGACTAAGCAAAAGGTACAACTAAACGTTGGCTTATTTATAAATTTGCCTCGCATTTGGGTCTGACTTGCGGTGGCTCGTCTTCAAGAAATAGTAGTGACTCTCAAAAACTTCACTGTCATTCTTACATTTAGCGTTATGTAGGTTCCTGAAAGCTTAAAAGTAAACCTAACTTGAATTTGCCTTTTCAGTGACGTTACAGGTTTGCGTTTTTTTAAATATTTTCTAACGAATAAAACAAACAAAAGAATTTTGTTTTTCTTATTTGCCGGTGACAGAAGGGTGACTACCTCAAACCAGCGCGGTACTGCTGCTTTTGTAAGACGATACGGTTAGGATTATTTCTGGACCAGAACACTCAATGACTGTCGAAAATGGGCTAGAACATTCCAGAAAGAAAAACATTGCGAACAAAAAGAACTGACCGAAGCGGTGCGTGCATTTCGTTCCTTCGGGTAGCAGCCACCTGCATTCTTAACTCAGCCACGCAATCGGCAGCATCACTTGCCATCCTGTCTTGATGATCGTCACGCGACAAATAATAGGAAAAATGCACTCGAAGCTGCACCATCGTAAGAGCGGTTTTTGTAATGGAGGTTTTTACTTCATATGAGACGGTATTTGTTTCCCATAATGTACCGACCACGCACAAGGGGGTTGCAAGCCAAGAGAATGCCATTAATTACCGGTTCGATGCTTTCAGGGTTGCTTCACCACAGGAACCGACCCGGGATTTGTCTCCGTGGCCGAGTTCAAGAAGCTGAATGAAGACTCATACGAAGAGTTGCCTGCGGAGGACGCCAAGAACGAAGTGGTCGTGCACTTGTACACATCGGGAACAACGGGTCGACCGAAGGCCGTCGAGCACACGCAATACAGCCTCGTGGCAAGTTTGCCCCGGCCCGGGTTAGTTTTGCAATTTGTAATTATGCGCTCGCGCGCGGATTAACTGTTAGTATGCCTATACCACGTCGTCACTGACAGAATGAAAATGGCAGGGCATGCCTTTCGAATAGCCAGCCTCCAGCACGTGTTCGATGCCTTCTGTTGAGCCGCTACTGCTCATGCGCGCTCCAAGTGCACGAGACGGCAAAGCACTATCAAAGGTAGAACGGTTGCGTTGGTGACAACTGAAGCTTCACACTGCCCTTGTCGCCTCCCCAGTGGCCATAGTCGGTTGCAATCTAAGATCGGCTGGAAAAGCTCCGCACCGAAGTCCAGGACAAAAATGTTATACTAAACAAAACGCCTGATTTCGCTATACGTTGTTCGTTCGCACTAACGTCGCATCAGCTTCCTCCGTGGTGGTCTGTCTGCTCAGTGCGCATCTTTAGAAGCGCACAGTTTGTGCCATGAATTTCTTTTCTTGGCGAGAGAAAGTAGGATGGATCACGAGCATCGCCCGATAACGTCACGGGCGAGCCATGTAGAGCCCTTCGCGGGAGATGAATGGCGTTTGGGATGCCGGAGCTCCAGCATTCGCGCGTTCCCTCCAGCAGTGCCTCGGTTCTGCGTGCACTTTCGAGGCCTACGAGTCAGGGAAGCGTTTATGAAGGTAGGAAGCTCACGCTGGAAAGAGAGCCGATGGACCTCCTTGAAGTTTTCACTCTCTCACCGACTCTAGCGTTAAAAAATGGGGCCAGCGAAACTTGCGATTCTGAAACAACACGCAATGACTAGAAAATTAACATTACAATGAATGAGTTGTCATATCTATGGCGTCTATAGGACGTCTTCATCTGAGTGTTACCACAAAAGTATTGAATATATATGACGTGTTGTTGCATTGGGCGACAAAAATAAAGTAACTAGTTTAGGCATACCAATGGTAAAAGTGTGTAGCGGAGAAAAATAAAACTGAGGGTGAGAAACTCTTAAACCCTAGCGCCTTCTAATCGGCAATTAAATTAATTTGGTGTTTTGCATCGTACCGTCGTGCGGTCGTGTATTACAATTACATGATGCACGCTAAAGACACCAGGCAAGCCCTCGTGGTGCAGTAATTATAGTCCTTATCTACGGCGTAAACCAGTGTCAGCTACCTCAAAGCCACACCAGCTTTACACTCTCCAAACACGTACATCTACATTTTTAGTAAACGCTTAATTTGGTGTTGTTTCCAGCGCAGTTCTAGCGCTGAGGTCTCACCGCGCTCAATCTGTCTTACCAAGAAGGATCATGAGCTTTTTTTTTTTTTTTTCTCTCTCTCTTAACATTTTAGGTATCACCAAACTTTCAATTGTCAAGAGGTTTTTGCTTCCTGGTTATCGACCACAACGGGTGCTGGATTTCTGTTTTATTTGATAAAATGTACTTCAGGAGCGGAGACTGTTCTTCTCTCCAAATCAAGTGACGCGGAGGAAATACGAGACACATTTAAAAAATACAAGGTATGACAAACACATTTCTTCTATACTAATTGTCATTAACCGTTCCACACTAAACACTTCTTGTAAAAGTTTTGCTCGGCTGGCCTTCTATGTGTCGCAAAGGAAGGCAGTCTGTTTTGATTAGCGCCAAGTAATAATGATAATAATAATAATAATATTAACCTGTATTGGCTCGGGAGAATCGCGGCACCACGTCGCTGTCGCAAGCGGAGTCTCACAGGTTTCTGTGTGGGGCCACTGTTTCTGATGCGAAAGCATTATCCCATAGAGCGGAGCCGGCGGCGTCTGTAACTGCGAAAGGACGCGGAAGAAGAGGCCATTCTCCCATTGGCTGAGCGAAACGGCCCCAGCCATTGGCGGCCGCTTCACGAGAGCGGACACTCGGCTCTCGGGTAAGGCGTCGCCGGAGGGGTGGGGCGAGGAGCTGCCGCCGCTTCTGCTCCTCTTGTAGCCGAGGCACATGGCAGCGCCTCAGGCACCTCTTTGATCGGCGGCCGCAACCTCGGCAGTCGCGAAGCGTGGCCGTCCACGCCACTTTACACTCCAGACGAACAAAGAGAGCGGAAGAGCGGCATTCATGCATTCGCATTCACAACCCATAAGAAGCTCGCTTAAAGGGGTACTCCGCCGATTTCTTCATGGTCCCCGATTTGCTTGAAAGTTTGCTAAACTCGCCAAACAACATCGCCAAAATAGTATCCCAAATATTAGGTCAAAATAATTTTTTTTCACGAAGTTATTGAATTTACAATTTTGGTCTTCACCGTGTTTTTCAAACTGAAAGTCTCTACTGGCAACAATGGAAAAGTGACGTCATTGGAAGTGCAGGGGTTCACTCTTTGGACTGTAGAATTTGTTCCCAACTGATTTGAAGCAGTTTCATGGTGTCAAATGAATGCCTTGGAAGCTCGCTCCAGTCCCCGCGCTCCAGCACGGAACAAATAATTGGCATGTTCTATTTTTTAGACTGCTCGCCCGACTGGCAAGCTGAACTTCCACTGACGTCACGGCCCTGAAAAGGGCGGGTATATTTGAATGTCTGTTTTTGCGTCATTTTCATTTGCCGATTTCGCAATAACTATTATGAATTTCGCGATATTAAATAGCATTCCAGAAAGGGTAAAGGCCTGGGAGTCAGAAAATATAGTTAGTTGAGGTAGCTCAAAAATCGGCGGAGTACCCCTTTAATAGGTGTCCTCGGAATTTATTTTCCTTCCTTATGATATCACAAATTCACTGAAATAAAAACATACGACCGATTGCAGGGCATTGCACGGCGATACATCACGCGTCTCCAACTGATAAAAATAAATAAAAAGGAGACTATAGCACCAGCCAATGTCTCCTTTTTATTTATTTTTATCAGTTATTAAAGAAAGACAGATGAAAAAAATTGGCAGATACTTACGCATCCCGTAAGGTGAAACACAGTGACAGCTGAGCTGTCAAGTCGCAGCCGCTAATGTGTCATTTCGAAGCAGATAAACACGATAAACGGTGAAAGTGCGAGCGAGCACTATAAAGTCCGCATGGGCGTTTTATATTAAACTGAGTAACACACCGGGTTAAAAATTTCGTGAATTTTTGAAACCGATGAGGGTCTATTAGGTATAAAGAATTTTGCGAACATGCTGAACAATTTCATTGGGCAGCAACTAGGACTGCTTCGTGGTAATTGAAGAACACTTCGAAAAACACGAGGCCAAGTTTCAAATCCAGGAAAAGATGAAACTACATGTGCATGCATGAACCGTTCGCTGTCGTTGGTCTGACTGTCTGAACGTCTTATGCAATGGTACTGCACACAAATTAACACGGCCTTGTGATCCATGACGAACATTTCAAAAATGGCGCACTCTAGGCTCAAGCGTTGTATCTCCGCCTACTTTGAGTTTCGTGGCTTCGCCGGCTTCCCACCCACCCAGCTTCATTTGTTTTATTGCCCGAGAACATTCTACGTGGTGTCACAGTGTCACCTGACGTCATAACATCAGGCGACGAGTGGTGCCACCTGGCGTTATTAAGTGGCAATGGAACCCCACATGCAACGTGACTTTGCATAACAGTGTCACGTCACGGTGTCAGCTGACGCCAGCAACAGGTGACATGATCTGCGGCGTGACGTCAGCGGCGTGACGTCAATGTAGAGTCCTTTGGCGGAGTGCCGAGAATGGCACGCGCCAATATGAGTGCGGTCGACGGCATAACCCCGCGAAGTGACCCACTAATAGCTCTCGCTTTAATATCGCTGTAAAATGAAACAACGCATCTAAGTGTAACCATGTGTGTTTTACGTGCAAGCGTAAAGGCTCGTTCACACAGTTGCGTTGACTGTGTTGCGCTGCGCTGCGACGTGCTGCACAGCGCCTCCCCATTGGCTCGTCGCAAGGCAAGGGTCGCCATGGCAACAGCTCGACGCAAGCCCTGTTAAAGAGGCGCAAGTTGTTGCAGTTGCACTCCAACGCAGTTGTGTGAACGAGCTTTGAACCTGTCTTATTTACATATGTTAAAAGCTGCGGAGGTGCACACTTTGTCCCGTCGAAAATGCCACACAAAGCTGTACAGCTGTGTAGTGGACTGTTTGGAGATCATTGAGCTCAGGAAAGCCGCGGAACCACAGAAAGTAACGGGTGTAGTCTCTCATACCTGTATATAAGAGACTACACGCTCATTGGGGTTGACTAACTTTCGACTGTATAAACATACCCAGAACACACAATCAGCAAGCAGAACTACCGAAGGCTGTGGTAACTTCCGTCAGGTACGTTAGCTAATGGTGGTGACAAATGTCACCATTGATTCTTGGCACCAGTACAGCTGAAGTGTCGTTACTTACTTGTTATTGAGCATCTCTTATTTAAATTCTTCTTTTCTCGTTGCTGCAGGTGACTTGTGTGGCAGGGAGTGGTCCCCAAATGGTGTTGCTTGCCAAGACGATGGAAGAAAAAGGAATTCGGCTAGAAATTCTACAGAACGTCGTTCTTTGCAGTGTAAATGTTACAGATCATATTCTGAGGCAACTTTTACCGTCGTTTAACGTGGCTATCATCAAAAGCTTTTATGGATCTACGGAAACTTGCGGGATCTGTAGACCTCCCTGGGGTGCATCCAACTGGTACGGCATTGGATTCCCATATCCGATGGTAAAGATTAAGGTGAGTCTGATTAATTGTTGGGATAATTATGGCTTTCATGGGTGTCTGTGATTATGATATTCTGTGATCATTGGGAGTTTATTGCGACCGCCAGAATCAATGAAAAGTTCTACATACAGCAGGATTAGTTACAAAATTTTATGAGGAGCACATCGCATAGATGCTGGCTAAACACCTCCTCTAAGGCAGCATACCTCGTTCAAACACCGAGACATCAGTAATGATCAGGGTTGTGTTTTGCGTATCAACTGAGGCTCGATAATTGATCACGATAACAACATATAACAAAAACGAGAGACAGCTCATAGAGGCTTGCGCATCTATTGTTGTATTCGTTAGTAAAAATGGGAATGTTTTGAGTTTACTTTGATTACCGACGCTGAAATCGCATAAAGAATATATATATATATATATACCACACACTTTGTAAGACAGAGTCAGGTTTTACTTGCGAAAGTATTACTCTTGAAACCGATCAGCATCCAGACTTAAGCTGCACGGCGAGATCAATGGATTGAACATTCGCCTCCCGTAGTGATTGATCAGCGCTGCGCGTGACATAGCCCCCGTTCCCTCGATCCCCGGGCGACGATGTCCCCGTCTCCTTGTACCGATGGCCAGCTGTTTCTAGCAAGCGAGCCCTGTGGCTGGCTTCCTAGGTACAGATATAAGACCGTGCAGAGGAAAGCACTCTCAAAGCTATGGCATAAGCGGAGTGCCAGGTAAGACGCCAAAGAACGCCTAGCTAGGCACAAACCTGACAATTCTGGGGCCTACTAGTTTCAGTCTAATACTGTTTTTCTCCAAGACGTTAGCTAGTCCCAAAGTACTTTCTTTGAGTTTCTACGGTTTTATTTTGCTCGCCACGTACTTGCCATAGACCAGTCAAATATTTGACGTATTAAGCGAAGAACAAATAATGATGCCTAAATCTGGCACTCATTTGGCAATTTTTGGCCCAAAGATGGTAAATGACAGACACACTTTCAAAAGTGAAGCCCAATTTTCGAACTTTTCGGCAAATCAGAGCCAATATACGCAGACTCTGTTTTTTTTCTTGACTTCTTCGGGTTCTTCAATGCACGAAATTTGATCCCAAAGCACAATTTTGACTCGAAGAACTTAGCTCCCAGTGAGGTGGCTGGTGAAATTGAGTCTGAAGTTCTCACGCATCCAGAGCTTGGCAGACTCTGCGCACAGTCTTATCTGAGACGCTGGTTCTAGCAAGCAGGCTCAGATTCCATGTGTCAAGGTTGTGCATAAATTTGCGGAAGACGATGATTATAACCACGAAGACGCTAAACAATATATTAGTAATATAGTAAGGGTACAGGCGAGGTGGTGAATGTTACCCATTCTGAATAAACCTGAGACTGGGGCAGGAATGAACATAGAAGTCGAAAGAACAGAAAATGACAGGACGACGTCTCAAATGTCTTCAACATTGAGACGTCGGCCTGTCCTTTTCTGTTCCTTCAACTTACATCTTCATTTCTGCCCCGGTCTCAGGTTTATTCAACATGGTTAACTATCTTAATGATGATGCTGGTTAAAAAATAAGACGATTTTTTTATATACCAATTTGTTTATTGCGCAGATATAAATACGAGGGTTGTCCGTAAAATAAGGCTCCCAAGGAGCTGCAGTCGCGAAGAACGCTGTTACGCGGGATCCAGCGACACTGGCGTGTAGCCTGCTTCCCCCTCTCCGAGTCCCTGCCCCGGCGAACTGACTGCGACGCTGAGTCTTGGCTTGGCAGCGGTTAGAGATGGAGCTCACAGTCGCTTCTCCCGCCGGGTGCAAATTACGCTCTGTGTATCGCTTTTGTGTGCAAAAAACACGGCGCTTGTGGACATTCATTCCCAACTGTGTAAAGACTACGGAGAAAAGTGTATGAGCGTACAACACGTGGGTCCACTACACGACTCCGGAAACCAAACAACAATCCCGTCAGTGGAAACATCCAAAGTTGCTGAAGCTGCGGGACTTCAAACAAACACTGTCTGCCGGCGAAGTGATGGCGAGCGGCTTTTGGGACAGGAAGAGGTTATTGTTGTGCGAATTCATGCCTGCCGGTACAACAATCAATGCCGATCGCTACTGTGAGGCTTTGAAGAACCTTCGCTTCCCGATCCAGAACAAGAGGAGAGGCATGCTCAGGAAGGGACTGCGTTTTCATCAGGACAACGCTCGTCCGCATATCGCCCGTGTAACAGACAATTTCATCAACAAATTTGAATGGGATACTGTCACACACTCGCCCTACAGCCCAGACACAGCCCCAAGTTACTACCATCTCTTCCCGGAATTGAAAAAACGCTTGCGTGGGACGCATTTCAGAACCAGGCAGGAGCTGAAAGAAGAGGTTTGAGCTACTTTCGCGGCGCGGCGGGAGAGTTCTACGATTCAGGCATAAAGGAGATGGTACTACACCACAAGCAAAAATGCCTTGATATCAACAGCGATTATGTCGAAAATAGGGGAAAGTCTACGCTTTCCAAAAATGTAATATTCAATGCCAATAAAAACTTTTTTCGCTGTGAAAAATCACTGGGAACCTTATTTTACGGACAACCTTCGTATAATGGTCTAACTATTTAGTACGTTTCACACACACAAAAAAAAAATATTTACTTCAACATTTTTGTTGCCGATGCATCTTTAAAAAAACTATCTGATTGCATAATTGGCTCGGTGATTTCGCTGTGATTTTCGGTGATTTTGACTTAAAATCTGCCTCATGCTTGGCCTTTTCGTCTTCTCTAACTCAAATACTTGAAAAAGGTACCTTACGGTAGCTTGCAATTTATTTTTTATTCACTTGGCGGATTGTTCACACAAGAGATTCGTTTCTTCGTAATGAAGACGGCTTAGAAAGATTGCAATGTGTCATGTGTTATGCGTCATTTGTCATGTGTCATGTGGCATGTGTCAACATTGCCATGTGCCATGTGTCGTAACATCTTGCGTATTAGTATTTGTTCTTAAGCTCCAACCGTGTGTAAGAGAACAATTACAAAATGTATACGTAATAAACGTGGCACTCTGCTGCCTAACAGCTCCCGCGACCTTATTGCCTTACATTATTGCGGCAGCTCGTAAAAATTAGGATGTAACCACCGATTGTTTTTATGGACGACTAAAGGTGCCGAAATGGCTAGGGCTAGAGCACGTCTCGTTTTCTGACTTTTGTAACCAAAAAAAGAAAATCGAGAGGCATGTCTATGGTCGTTTGCAACTCAAAAAGGTAGGGCGAGGTGGGTAAGACGGGCGGGGGAGGAGGAAGCAGACGGAACGCTCAAGAGAGAGAGAAACGTCTTTCTTTCTTTAGCGTTCCGTCTGCATCCTCCTCTCTGCCCGTCTTACCCTCGCCCCACCTTCTTACGTTGCAACGGACTTCAGGTGAAAAGGCCACTTTCCAGCACACGAGACGCTAAAAAAAATGTGGTGGACCCAAGACACATTTTTAAACTTAGGTTTGCAATATAGACCTATTAAAAACTAGGTATACATGGTGTTTTCCTTTAGCTGCACCAAATTTTCGAAAAAAAAAAGACGAGCTGCGTTAGCACATTTTTAGTTATGCCATTAGCATACCCGACCTGGCGCCCACCAGGAGCAAAGTATTTTTGGCAACTAGGCGCCTAATTAACGAAGTTCTCTTAATTAAAATTTCAATTACTGTTTTAGATGACCAATTCCCTTTACGAAATTGAAGCCCAACCTTAATATCCTTCAGCCCCACAGCGAAATAAAGGCACGAAAAATTTCTGCGCGCGTTTCTGGCTAAATTATTTCATTTCCTCATGCTCTTTCAAACCCAAACTGGCCAGAACAAGAGCGTCAATGGCGTCGATATCTTCGCCCTCGCTTGGCATCACAGCAGTGACGTTACCTGTGAAGCAGGCACTGCCGTCAGCGCTATTGTAATACGTTGCTCTCTTCTTAGTGTTTTGCTTACCGCGGCAGGTGTAAATCACGCTGTCCCAGCGGGCATCGTGACGCTACCCTTTCCTTTCGCTGATATGATAGAAGCTGCTTTAAAGACTTGTGCCAATGGTGCTACAAAGCGACGAACGCTGCGTCACTCGCTCCTCTGTTGTATAAGACACAGGTTTGCACCCATATCTTTGGAAGGACGAAAGCTACAAATAACAGAGGCGCTATGCGATTCATAGTGTTGTGTCTTTCTTTCTCTGACTGTGGCAGGAAACACATCTGAATGGCGTCGCTCATCGCCAAAAGGCTTTCGGTTGAAGAAAAAACAGACATGGTGATTGCATATTTAACTTTGCAAAAGAATGCTCGCCATGCTGCGCAACTTTATGCCGCTCAGCACCCAGGTTGCTTCGTTCCAGCACACACTTACTTCATATGCGTTATCAACAAGTTTGCATCAAGTGGCACGGTCGTGAGTGGGCGAAGACAACAAATATGTCCTCAGCCGCGAATTCGAGACTGACATGCTTGCGTACGCAACAACTGAGCCTGAAGCAAGCGTGCGCGAAATTGCGACGTCTTCTGGGACAACGATCTCTACAGTGTGGAAAGTGCTTACGAAGCGTCGCATGCATCCGTTTCACGCTAGCCTGCACCAAGAGCTACATGGCAGTGACTTCCAACGACGACTGGACTTTTGCAAGTGGGCCCTGATTGAAATGGACCGGGATCCTGGATTCTTTAAAAACATTATTGGGAGTGATGAGGCTCAATTCTGCAGAAATTTAACGGTGAACATCGACAATGCCCATTACTGGGCAAGCGTAAATCCTCGTTGGCTCCGTCAGCACAAAAATCAAGTGAGATGGTCTATTAACGTATGTTGTGGAATATTTAATGATAAAATTATTGGCCCATATTTCTTTGACGGCATACTGAACGGAAAACTATACACGGAGAGAATCCTTGAGGGAGTCATGGAAAGTTTAATGCCGGCCTGCCTCTCAGCGTGCTGAAGGAGACGTGGTTTCAACAGGACGGCGCTTCAGCGTATTCTTCTT